TTGTTTTTTTTATTTTCTAACTTTTTTTTTTTTTTTTTCCATTTTTTTTTTTTTGTTTTTTACATTTGCTTTTCTTTGCCTTAGAAGAGTAAAATAGAATATTTGTTAAAAGTTGCCTAAAATCTTTGAATAACCCAAACATTGAATTATTTTAGTCATCTTTGCATACGATTTGTGGCCTACTCAGTTTCCGGTTGTTTTTTTTTGGTTGTTTTTATTTTCTCCACTTTTGGTGTTCACTCTCTTAACACGAGGCATGCTTTTGTGTGTGCTCACATGCAGTGAATACTCTTGTCATTTGAACATTGCTAGTGTGCTCGGGATGTATTGGTTGATGACAGGATATACTGCAATGTGCATAGTATAGGACTGCCAAGAGCACGCGCGTTGTGCACTGCTTGCGTTTTGTGTGTGTGGGGGTAGACAGGGTCTGGCAAGGAGTGTGCGGGGCCTTGGGCCAATTGAATTTTGCGGGGCCGTTGACGCTATATATTCCGCCGATAGGATATTAAGACACGTTATACTGCAGCGGCGTAGCGAGGGTGTTTTGCGCCCGGGGACAAGATTCACGCCCGGGGACAAGATCCATTTTAAAGCGCCCCCTTTTTCTTTTTTTCAACTCTCAAACCCATTATTTTCATCAATAAAATAATATCAAAGCACATTTTGGCGCCCCCACCTACCTGGCGCCCGGGGACATCTGTCCCCCCCTGCACCACCCTCGCTACGCCTCTGCGTTATAGACGTTACTGGGGCCCTGCTGGTCATAATGGGACGCGTCATAACGGATATTTGTTCACTCGCTTAGTTTCCGAAATCTCTATTTTTTCCTATGGCACTCAATTGCCCTGGCCCAAATTACTCATCGCGGCTCCATTGTTACCAATATCCAGGTTATCAAAAACAATATACTACTGCAACGCGCGGGGCCTTGGGCTGTCGCCCACTTCGCCAACCCCTAGCGCCGGCCGTGGGGTAGAGTTCTTTTTTTTTTTTTTTTTTTTTTTTTTTATTTTTTTTTTTTTTTTTTTTTTTTTTTTAAATATTTTTTTAGAGATCGTGTGAAAATGTTAAAATGTTGACAAAGTTTAAAGCCGCGCGCATACAACTTCACCATTTGTGGGCTGTTGTGTCAGAGAAAACGCTCTACCCCGAGCAATCGCCGCCTGCTATAAATGCCATGTTCGTAAGGTGTTCCCTCTGCTGACCGATGGGAACCAGAACAACCATATACATCATTGATGTTAGACCGTGGGGATAAAAACATCATTATTCTGCCATTGGCACATCTTCGTTCTGATCGTTGCTTAAACACATCAGGAAGTCTCGTTCTGTCCTCGTGCAAGATTACATATGTTCAGTGCCGGATTAACCTGGAGG